TGAATTCTCACTTAACTAGCCTTGTGAGCTTGAGTCAGTTACTTAAATTTTCTAAGTTGTAGTTGACTTCCGTTTTAAGATGTGTGCAATCATAGCACCTATCTCATAGGTACCTATTGTTAGCATTTAATGATATAAGAGGAGAACTTAAACAATATATAGAATATCACACATACTAAAAATTCAATAGATTTTGCTAAAATCAACCCAAAATAGGCTCTTTCTAATTGAAACACACCTACCCACAAACACACAACACACAACACACAACACACACACACACACACAGAAATTCACCCTCATTAGGTATTTGCATTAGAAATGCAAATTTAGCCCTAACCCAGCGGTTCTCAACCTGTGGGTCGCGACCCCTTTGGTGGTCGAATGACCCTTTCACAGGGGTCACCTAAGACCATCCTGCATATCAGATATTTACATTACGATTCATAACAGTAGCAACATTACAGTTATGAAGTAGCAACAAAAATAATTTTATGGTTGGGTCACAACATGAGGAACTGTATTTAAAGGGCCAGAAGGTTGAGAACCACTGCCCTAACCGGTTTGGCTCAGTTGATAGAGCATCAGCCTGTGGACTGAAAGGTCCCAGGTTCGATTCCGGTCAAGGGCATGTACCTTGGTTGCGGGCACATTCCCAGTAGGAAGCGTGCAGGAGGCAGCTAGCTGATTGATGTTTCCAACTCTCTATCTCTCTCCCTTCCTCTCTGTAAAATAAAATATATTTTTAAAAAAGAAATGCAAATTAATACTTGAAATCTAGATGATCTTATTAACCAATGTCACCCCAATAAATTTAATAAGAAAGAGAATTTAAATAAACACACACAAGAAAAACATGCAAATTTATACATATGATAAAAATATTTAATGATAGGAAAGTGGTTAAATAAATTATGGAATGGAATGGTATATAACCATTAATAATATTGAAAGCTTATCCTTTCTTAATATAGACATGACCACAAGATATTGATTTTTGGAAAGCTGATTGCTAAAGAGCATACAATTGGTAATGATTGATCCCATGAACCTCAGCCATATACTCTAACAACATTAAAAACAAAAATTTCCCTTCACACTGTTTTCTTATCTCCCACCCTTCTTTTACCACAAATTCCAGACACCTGTATGTTTTATCACTCTTTAGGTTTGTCTTCTGCACCTAACAACCTCACTATAACTATTTCAATGGACAAAACCTATGACATCTCTTCAGTATGTATCTTACTAAAAGATTTAGCCTTAGCCACCTTGACATTATTAATGCTCCTTCCTTAAGCAAAGTAAAATCCCATGGTTTCCTCTTACCTTTCTGTCTACTCTTTCCTCATCTTCTACTTGCATCTTAAGTGATGATATACACTGGGGTTGCCTCTCCTCAACTGTCTTCTCTCATTGCTCCACATTATTTCCATGGGTCTACAACTCACTGCTTGATTTGAACTCTCACTCATCCCTACTAGTTTGATAGTGATTAGTAATTCCCAGCCCTCTTTTCAGTCCTAGACTTTATCTAGTGAGAATCAGACTAGGTTTCCAACTGTTTACATTTATCAAGTGGCTATTTAAGATAATATCCCATTTAAGTCCTCTCAGATAAGGGTATAGACAGCTGGTTACCAATCTAGAAAACCTGTGGTCATTAATTCCTGTCATCCCCTAGCCTTTCACATCTAATAATTCAATCTCAATTCCATACCTGACTCCATTCATAGAGACTCTATCTTGGAGAAAATCTTCATTTGGAATCTTGGACTATTGTAATAATTTCCTAAATGGTTTCTATATTAGCCTCTCACAACTCAAAGACTTTCTAGATACCATATTGTGATAACTAAGCTTTCTTCATGAGCTCATCAATGGGTAGAGCATCCTGGCTTGGTTTACTAGGCCTGTCACAATATGGCTCAGATAGCTTCTCCATCTTTATCTCTTAGGTGCTCCCCTGTGCATGTGAAGCAGCCATCAATTGAAACACCTTAACAGTTCCCAAACAAGATCTACTATTTCTTGTCCCCATGCCTTTGTGTTTGACATCTACTTTGATTAGAGTATTCTTCAATGTTCTCTACCTAAAGAACAACTTTGAGAAGTCTTCTTCGATGGTTTGTGGCAAACTCAGAGCCTCCCAGCTTTGTAGCCTCTTAGTACTTGACCAGTGTGATGCTTCTCACTTTATGAGGCCTACTGGCTCATCTTTTACCAAAGGATTGCAAGCTAGTTCAGCACAGCAAGCAGCCATGTGCCTACTACAGTGAATTCTGTATTATTACCAAGTATTTGTATATATATATATATATATAGTTAGTAATGATGGTAGACTGTGAGGTTAGAAACCATGTTGACCACATGGGTTTTTATCTGATATTTGCAAGTGAAGAAAGGATAGCATAAAGGGAAGAAAGAATTCATCCCATTTCCCCTGATTCAACCAGACTCAAACATGGACCCTCCTGAAGGAAATATGGAAACTATATTATCCTTACAGGATCATCTAGTGCAGTGATGGTGAACCTATGACACGCATGTCAGAGGTGACATGAACTCATTTTTTTGGTTGATTTTTCTTTGTTAAATGGCATTTAAATATATAAAATAAATATCAAAAATATAAATCTTTGTTTTACTATGGTTGCAAATATCAAAAAATTTCTATATGTGACACGGCACCAGAGTTAAGTTAGGGTTTTTCAAAATGCTGACACGCCGAGCTCAAAAGGTTCGCCATCACTGATCTAGTGCAACCATTCTTGGATGCCTTACTGTTGTGAAAGCATCCCTATCTATATTCTTAAATTCAAAGGCTTTGAACATATTCCAAATGTGGACAACACTATTTGCAAGTCTTTTTAAATGAAGATGATTTTTTCTCTCTTCAATTTTTACCCATTTCTCTTTTCCACACTCTGAAGCCACACAGAATATATACATTTCTGTTTTTAGAGGAGGCTTTCAAATACAGAGGATGTTAATGTCCCATTTAAGGTAAGTGTTTTCCAAACTAAACCTCACCAAGCCCTTTGCCGCTCCTCACGTAACATGATTTCTAGTTTACTAACTAGTCTGGTTATTTCACTCTAAGCAACACCTGGCTGCCTATGTTTGTCTTAAAATGGGTTGTCTGAGTCAGGTGTGACCAAGGTAAACAGCAGAAGAGCTCAGCAGCCTCATTCTCTAGACCCTCTACTCTCTCAATGAAGCCTAATGTTGAACTAGCATTTGGAGCCATTTTGTACCACACATTTACCTTAAGCTTATGTTCAATTCAACTCATAAGTTTTGTGTTTTAAATTAGTTTTAAATTCTTGCAGCTCCTAAGTCACCCTCTTTTGAGGACTTTGGACTCGAGTTCTAGAATGAATTCAGAGGGTAATAATCTGGAGCTGCTCTTTGAACCATTTCTTTCGTTGACTAAGTCAATGCACTGATCACTTTAGAATGTAAATAGGAGTCGTCCTGAATCACATTATAATACATGTGTATTATATCATGGCTTATGTAATACTTATAAAGGAAATTCTGAACAAAGTGTGTACAGGAAAGAGAGAGATAAAAATCTGAAGATCTGGAAAGCAAATTCCTTTCTATAGCCCTGAGACTAATCTACTGCAAAGGCAATTCAAAATTTATACGCATGATAGAATAGCATCTCCTAAGGTGTATTTTAAGAAACATCTGTTACATGGATTTTAAGATATATTAGTGGATAAATGAGAAACATCAGAATAAACAAAAATAAACAAGGTAAGTCTTTTTTAGGTCCTTAAATTTGGAAATGTAAACTGTGACATCTCAGTCCTAATAAAACATCCCATTTTCTCAAAAGGTTGTCAAAAATCACAAATCACTGGACTTCACCCTGAAGATTCTGATTTGGTGGGTCCAGAGGGAGGCCCAGGAATGTGTCCTTTGAACAAGTGTCTCGGGTGATGCTGAGGCTACTGCCCACGGAACCACTTCGAAGACCCACTAGGATTCAGTTATGGAGAATCTGCTGGAGACAGTTTTCTAGAGAACATGCTTTCAGGAATCATATGCTAAATTCAAGACTATGTTTGGCTCTCTACAAAATAAAATCACCACAGAAGTCATGTTTTTAACTCTGAATGAATAGGGATTTGGAGTTTACTTTTCTTTTTTAACTAAAAAAGTAGACCATAACCATCCCCCCTCCCCTCCTCCCCCAAATAAGTTGCCTAAATATCCCAAACGTATTTGCTTCTCTAATTCCATGTTCAAAATGTATCTTGTGTAGTTAAAGAAAGCTTTGGCTATGGCAACATCAACCTTGGAGGCAGAAACAGTGCAGAACAAGTACTCATGGATGTGTCGAATTGATGGCAAAGTCTTGAGGAAGGCATGAAACTGCTCTCAGACAAATATCTAACTGCAGGTCCGGTCCATCCAGTCACCCTCACATTTATCTGCCATGAAACTCATTACCAAAATTAAATTATTATCATTGTTTGTCTCCTTTCACTTAAAATATGCTTTAAGATTTCACCCTGAGAAAGTGTGTAATTTGGGGGAGAGACAGACATTAAGATTTGAAGCACTTATGAATGCAAACTCAAGCAAAAAACAACTGAAATTTGGCAACACATAAAAATGTCACATTGCTTTCACAAAAGTTTGCTCTGTCTAAGACAATATATAGCTCCAAAGACACATACATATATCCACTTACAAATGCAGCACACACACTATCATTCTGAGAACAGCCAGCTACTATACATTGAGCATCAACCAAATAGCGCAATTCATCTCAATTATTACAAATAATACTTGCCCTCCCTTTCTCATTAATATTCTCTCAAGGGATGGCTTTCTAAAAAGAAAAAAAAATGGACTCATAAGAATTTCAGAATTCCAACATCCAGCCACATACATAGTTGAAATTTAAAAAAATTAATAAAAGACTAAACATATGGAATTTTCTTAGTAAAATATAAGCAAGCTTCTTTTTGTCTTAGAGGTACCTGCAAAATGTGACTTCCCAAATGTGCTTCAAATACTTCAATGGCCAGTGCACTGGGGCTTCTCCTTCGTTGTGCACCTATAACTTAGAGAAAAAAAAAGGAAAGAAAAAAAGAAAAGAAAAAGGGAAAAAAAGAAACAGAGAGGAAGAAAAGAAAGAAAATAATTAAGTTGGAGCTCAGATTCATACCTTCAACTTAATTTTCTTTAATTATGTCACTAGTTACTATAACAATGACATCTCAGAGAAACACAGCCCAGTGTTAACTTGGCCCCGAGTTGCCTGAGCATAAGCAGAACCAAGGTTGAATTTCCAAGTCAGATAACAACAAACCACACCCAGACTTTTTTTAAAAAAAAGTTACCTTGGATGTTTTTCCCTATATTGAAGCAAAAACATGAATGCTCACATTCCATTAAGATAATTTAGTACTTTTTTTCTTAAAATTTAGGTATTTTTAAAATACACACATACTGCCCCCCCCAATAAAACCTAAACTTTTTATATTCTCTAGGCTAGAAAAAAAAATAAGCAGGATTTTTTTAAATGCTCTAATGCAACAACTTTATCATAATTTAATAAGTGCAACATGTTGGAGAAGAAACTCTCATTAATGACTGTTTACACTAGTGTTAAGTGTCTCGGGGTGGCTGGATTTTTCTGTTTACTGCACATTCGCATGTAACTATTCCTACAGGATCTTGGAGAAGCACAGGTGGCCTTGCACTCAGCATGTGTCCCACCAGCACAGGGACTGTGCTCTTGGGGGAATACTCCTGTTCTCCACTCACATGGTCAGTCCTGCTCTTCCTGGCGTGCCCCACATGTGTTGCCCACAGGCACCTGCACTCAAAGAGCCCCCTATCCTTAACAAAAGTGAGCTTGCTGCCAGGGATCTGTGGGATCCACAATTGAGGGTTTTCTTTATACATAATTTTTTGTATGGGCACACAATTTGATTTTAAGTCTGTTCTGGGTATCCTTATCTACAGTAATAAAATATAAAGATGCAAATTAACCGTACTTTCTCAACACTCATCAGCCAATCAGGAGTGAGTATGCAAATTAACCCAACAAAGATGGCAGGTTAATTTGCATGCGCAGGTGCCCAGCTGCTGGGGGCTGGGGGCGTTAAGCACCGCCCTAGCTGCTCTGGGCCTCTGGGCAGTGTGGGAAGGCGGAAAGGCGGCTCCAGTCAGAGCAAAGGTGGTGCCGGCAGCCAGGGGAAGGAAGGCCCATTCTTGCACAAATCTTCATGCATCAGGTGCCTCTAGTCTTTTATAATTTTTTAAGCAAAAAAATCTTTGTGGTTTACAGTAATTTATGAAAAAAATTCTGATCTTCTTATTTCCAACAAGTAAATTCCCCATGTCTTCCCTCTTTTCTTGAAAATTTTACTACAAACCTCTGCTCCCTCAAACTTAGACGCTATAATTTGAAAATACAATCCCCCCCACACACACACTCTTCTAAAACCCACTTCCAGCTAGTTACCAAATATTTTCAGCAAAATGCTCCTGGGATAATTGTGCTTCGTTTCAGTTACTAAGTCAGTCAGTTGCATCCATAGCTTAGTAGGAATTATAATATAAATGTACTTGTGATTATTGTGCTGTGCAAAAGCAGGCAGTTTACCCCTGCAAGTGTGAGTCAGTGTCTGAAAGACACTTTGAAAACTGCATGAGTGTTTAAGTATCAGTATTACTGGCAAGAAGAAGTAAAAGAGGCATTTTGTTTCAATGGCAAAATTTATAAAATATAATTGAAGAGTGATTATTATCTGAGAATATTCCAGCTGGCAGGGATCTTAGAGATCTCTATTTCGACTTCCTCATTTGCTTCAGGAAAACACACAACTAATCATCTTAAAACAGAAAGATCAGGTTGCTACCCTAAGGTTAATTTTTATTAGTATAGACACAAGACACAAGATTTTTAAAATTTAAATATTCAGATATACTTAATACATTACTTCTGTGCGTGTGTGTGTGTGTGTGTGTGTTTCTGATTAATTTCCTATTCTAACACGCACATTACTCCCTTCAAAACTCCTTTGGCATCTTTGATAATGCAGCTGTCTTGCTGAATACTGTTTTCAGTTTCTAGAGTGTTAATTGCACATTATGGTAGCTTGGTGTGAATGATCCCACATGAATAAAATCTGCAGTCTTTTCTTTTTTTAAAGATTTTCGGGGGAGGGAGTAACAGGGAGAGGGGGGAGTTGAAAAACTTCAAAAGTGTCCACTCTGTTTTTGAGGCAGTAATTGGAATCCAAAAAGCTCCATATTAATAGTTCATAATTTAGGAGCATTTCAGGACTTCCAATTACAAAATTCAAAATAAACCATCGCACCTCACAAAAGAAAATGGGCTGATTTTAGAGAAAGACTTTTCTACAAAGAACTGGATTAAGAGGCAGCCAGGAGAGCAACAGTCACAACCTATAGAAGACGCTAACACATCACAGGCAGCGTAAGGAGTGTGCACATTTCCTAGCAGCCCGAGAGGCATGTCCCAGTAGTGACAGAGGCAGCTGCGCTCACTTCCGAAGCACAGCTGACCTCAGTGCTGCTGCAGGGGGTATGCACACCCGCCACTAATGGCCTTTCTTTTCCTTCCTTTTCCCCACGTAGGACTCAGGCTGTTCTGTAAGTAAATGCTGCAAATGCATAAATATTTAGGGATTTTATTTAAGAAAATGTAGTCAACCTGGGGATCCCAAATGTCTTCCTCAGTCCTCAGGTCTTACATCCATGAGCCCTACCTGCATTGTTTTTCAACTCCTCTAGAAATCTGAGTGTGCATCCCAGCCTGATACACAGGTATCTTATAAATGGTTTCATGCTATTCTAGTCAATGGCATTTTTATGGCACTGGAATTTCTCGTGATTTATATGTTTTGCACTTATGCAGGTGATGTGGGGCTGTAATGACAGTTCCTAATTTTACAACCAACATAAATATGTTAAACAGGAGCCCATTATGTCCCTGGTAGAAGACCAGATCTGACTCCAGCATTATTGGTAACTGACTAGACATTAAAAATGTACTTCTTATCTTGTACTTTTTATCCTATCGCATTTGGCTTTTTGAGATCAAGACAATAATCTGACAACTCAGAAAGGGCGAAAATAAAGCTATTTTGTTTCCCCAAGTTACTATCATTGTGGCTCTATAGTACCATTAACGGATAAACAAAACTAAAGAGGCATTTTCCTTAGTAGGTCCATCATCCTCAGAAAATGAACACATGGCCTATGACGCTCTCTCAGGTCCTTGGGTTCTGGAAGTTCACAGTTACTGAAACCATTTGCTAGTCCAAACAGAATGCGCATTTATGCCTGCTGAATAGGTCACTGTTCCCTCTGACCGAATGATACATTTCATTTATTTGTTTGTCCAATTAAAATAATACTACTTTTTTGAAATGTAAAGGGCACTAACTAAATTAACCAAAAAGAACATACACAGGGCATTGCTAAGTAAATGGAATATGTAACCGCCTGTCTGTGAAGATTATGTCTCTACCTACTGATAGTGAGCTGTGAGAGTTTCAGAAGTTGAACAGCTTGTACAAACTATTAAAAGAAAAAAACAATCAAACTATAGTCATATAGTAATTCAACTTCAAACTCAATTCAGCATTTACTGAGTACCTAGTTGATATTTAAAATTGCTACTTACCATTATTTATTATAAAACAAAACAAAACAAAACAAAACAAAAATAGCCCAAAAGAAAATTTTAAGCCATGTAAAAGTAACCTGGGCCCAGCATATCATTATCAACAAATACCACAATATTATTTCATGTTTTGCGATGGTTAAAAAGAAAACACCTAGATGTTTAGAATATTTTAAATAGAAGAGATATATAAAAGGAAGGATTCTTAAAAATCAACTAAAGAAACGCAGCTGTCTCAGAAATCTCAAATGATCTGATGAATCATTAGGGCAGTGCCTTGGCCTTTCTCCCACAGAAAAAGTGGAAGCCACAGAAGGAAACCACACCTAAACATGTATGTGAAAAATTAGTTTTGTCCCTCAACAATGTTGGCCACAATCTAGACTCTTCTGCATAGTTAGGACTAGACTCTTCTGCATACTTAGGACTGGACTCTTCTGCATAGTTAGGACTGGACTCTTCTGCATAGTTAGGACTGGACTCTTCTGCATAGTTAGGACTGGACCCTTCTGCATAGTTAGGACTGGACTCTTCTGCATAGTTAGGACTGGACCCTTCTGCATAGCCTTGTGAGGCAGTCTTTGAGAATTAATTCAGGGCAGTGAAAGACAACCCCCCTTTTGGGAAACAGACCCCACCCCCCCAGGCGTACTCCTAACCAGTGCTGTCACCTTTGGGGAGGCACAAAAGCCAGGAAGGCTGAGGATTAGCGCTCAGTGGGAGTTTGACCTATTCAGCCAAAAGGTCAGCTTGCCACGGAAGAACCCATTACAAAACAGAAATAGGACAGCTCAGTGGACACACATAAATAATGAAAGGGGGAAAAGTCAGGAGCCCTGCTTGACTTGAGTCTTGTGCTGCCCTTTTCCTTCATAGCCCTCTCCACCCCCATTTCCAGAGGGCGGAGCTGCCCCAGCTCCTCACCAACACACTCACCAAGGGCAGGGAGAGAGAAAGGCGCTGTCATTTAAGGGACCTCTTGAAACAGATATTTAAAAGGGAAGCTGAGCATGACATTGTGAGGATTTCTAATAGACTATTTTATTAGGAAAAGTAGCCATTGGCAGATAGGGAAGACTGTTTTAGAGTTTTAGAGACTTTTTATTGTCCAGTCCCCCTCCATGGAGAACAACAACATGTCGGCATAGGCAAAAGTAGCCGTAAAGGTCTGCAGGTAGTATTTCAAGTGTATCCACCAGTGAAGAGGCGAGCTTCAGCCAGGATGGCTACCCTCCGAGTCTGTCAGCTGGGGAAAGGCTCTGTTCCCACAGGAAGCTTGTGGAAGGGAGCATGCTTAACAGAATCGCAGCCATCACTTCCTGGGTTTCAGCATTGGGCTAAGCAAAGTCAGGGGCTGGAAAGGAGTGGAGAATAGAATGCTTAATGAGTCTTTTCCAAAG